ATTAAGATATTACATAAACATGAATATGAATAAAAGTTAGTTTAGTTCATTTTTAAATAATTTTAAGCACACTTTTGTATTTTTTATAATTATTGAAATATGTAAAAGTAATAAAATATTGATTTTTTTTTTTTTTTTTAATTCGATTGTTAAATAATTTAGTTATAAAATATTTGAAGTTTCTAATAGAATATTTAATAACTGATTATAAATAATTTAAAACTGTAAAAATTAATTTAGTAACGACATAATATCGTTACATTACGTTTAATGCAATAGGTCGACTAGGCAGTAATCATATTTTACTTCATAATTTCGTTTTATAAATTTCAGTGAGACTTCAGCCCTTTGGCTGGTATGGAAATATGTGACGTGGCGGCGAGTAAACGTTAGTATTGAGACGTCAAAACTATAAAACAGAAAAAAAAATGAAGAAATCCAGATATACCTCCACGCGCACGTTTATGTGCGATCAAACGCGGTGGTTGTACAATTCAATAATAGAATACAAGATAATAAAATGAAGGTATAAGTACACGGCGAAAAGACACGTGACCGTGGTCGCGGTCGGCGCGGCGGCGTTTAGCATTCTACGACATTCCGCAATACGCGGAGACCTCTCCATCACCCACGGCTTGTTAAAAACCATTGTAAAAGCAAAGCCGCGCGAATACTATTAAAAAACATAGATAAATAAAAGAAAAACAAAACGCAGTGAATAAAACAAATCGTGAAAAACATTGCTCCCGATTACAAAAAAAAAAAAAAAAATAATATATAAGAAAAAAAAATAAGAAATAAAACGAAAAGAAGTCGACACACTACACGTATAATACTATACCGTACAGCAGCAATATAGTATACCCGTTTGCGCTGCTCATGACAATATAATGTTTTGCGCGCACAAGTTCTTTATTACGCTCAGTCGCTACACACACACACACACACACACACACACACAAACACACGTCCACGTATATAACGTGCTATGCAAAACACGTCTTGTAAACAGCAAAACAACATAACTATTATCAACGCAATGCACAAACGGTCGCTGTGGCTCGTGACAGCCCGTGTTCAGTGGCCAACGACAACCGTCCGTCAAACGCCGTCGTTTCAAGTTCCGAGCATTTGTATTTATATATACGTATGCAAGTGTAAACCACGACGCGCACACCATATAGACTGTTTTTTCCTTCTCTTCTTCTCACTCACTCTCTCTCTCACTCTCTCTCTCTCAAACACACACACCTCTTTTTTTCTCGCTCTATGAAAACGTTTCTCCGCACCTTATCGCGTGTCACTAATTGTACATGTATTCACGCGATACTATTGCGTTACACGATCGGAAAAAGGCGCGATTTATGCAAACAATGATCCATAGCTGAGCTAATCGCTCGACTTTGGTAATTTTAATTATTTACTAAAAATCGCTATGATAAATATTAATGATAATAATATATTTATATATATATATATATATATATATATATACATATATATTAAAATATATAAAATATATATCTCATCTCTTTTTCATATATCTCTTATAAAAAAATATTTTATGAATAAATAATAAATTTATGCGCAAAATAAACTATTTACGGAATATATTTGGACAAATTAACAGAAAAACCCATATATTTCATAAAGTGTTCATAGTGTTGGTAATTATTTAATTAATTTAATTATATTTTATTTAGTAATAAAATCATTTGCTTATACCAATCGGGAGAAAACTAGAAAAAAAAAAATAAATAATTTGTTGGCCTATAAAATTAATATTATAGTTATTTTGATCGTATAAGCGTTATACTATAAGTTATAACATCAAGTAAAATATCGAGCTTAAAACGCAGATAAATAGAAACAGGGTTATAGGTAGTACTATATTTGAAATTTAATTTACTCATTGAATAATCATGACCGGAAAATGCCTGTAAAACCATTGGGTGCATTTTAATCGTAACGTAAAAAGGATAAGTCTTATTCTAAACGGTTTATGGTTTTCGCTCATTTTTTTCTTTTAAACAGTTAAAATTGGTTACTAACCTTACCGAAAAAAAAGAGCTCTTCTTCTGTCCAGTAAAGCATTTAAAGTCATAAAAAACACTACCCAAAATTGAAATATTTGAAACTTAATATTCAAACAAAGAATTTTTCCACGAAAAAAAAAAAAACCATTTAACAGTCTTTACATCTAAGCAACAAACGCTATACATTTATTGACTGCATACTATATTTATTAACCTCAGTAAAATTTTTACGCTATACAAATAAATATACCTAACAAATATAAAAGAACTTATCTTGTAAATATGATAATCAAATGTTTAATCAGATTTATTCGATTTTATTTGTAAGTGACGTTGAACGAAAAAAACAATTTGATTTTGAAAGACATATTTTTAAGTTACTGAATGTACGCTGAATTTATATAACTAGTAAAATTAAAAAGTTTATGAATTTGATTTTATGTAATCCTTTACATTTTTCACCCGTATTTTAAGGCATTGTATATGGAATTAATATAAACTTAATTCACTTAATTTAAGTCTATCAATTTTTAGTTATGATTGGTTTATACGATGAAATACAATTTATTTATAACTTTAAGTTAACGATTAATAATTTTTCTACTTTTTTGTTTGTGTAAAATGTTATATATTAGCATATGTTATTCTATTATTATAAAATAGGATTATTATTTTAAAAAATATCAACTACGAGTATATATATATATATATATTACTACTTAAAGTTTAATTAGATTTAAAAGTATATAAACTCCAACACTAATAATGCGAAAACCTCTTCTAGATAAAATATTTTCAGTATTACAGCTATAAGAGATTAATATTAGAAAAATATAAATATAGATCCAATAATTGACTTCACAATATTTTGTTTAATGATAGTTGATAAAGTAGACTATCCATCTACAATAATAACTAGAGATTTTAACTGCATCAAAGTGCACAAGTATAACTTACACTCCACATACACCGATAGAAAGTCAAGTGCCTTGTAGTGCATAATAATGACTGGTAATGAGGGGTGCCATTTGTTTATGTAATGCCCATATAAGTTCTCGCGTATTATTCACATATTTAATCCACCAAGTTATTATGAGGGGAAAAGTGGTGATTATTTTCCGAGCAAGAATTCAGATTTCAGATAATTTTTTATTTATTTTGTAGGTATACCCGGATTTAATATTAATACTACTTGCAAGCAAACACAAATGTCGAATTCATTCAAATAATCATTTGGGAAATCCGATAAACTTCCCTTTGGTAACAGCTGAACGTAAGAGAGTTTTCGTAATTTCAGTAAGAACAGAATATATGGACTTCAGAAGAAACGTCTCCACGCAGTAGGTAGTTCGTCGAATTTCGAATGTGATTATCAAAACAGTCGTTATAAACTGTTGACGTGTCCAGTTTGGAAGAGACAGACGACCGACAACGGTTTTTGTCTGTCATAATGCATAACGACCTGGAATATTAGCCACTTGTGTCGGTAAACACCGAGATTAGGGGAGAACTCAAGTCAGTTGCCTAGAAGTTTTGGTCGAAGAAAGGGGTAAATTGTGCCCGTGTAATAGTTTGCGTTCAAAAGTTGATGTAAACCTATAATAAAGTTTACCAGCGACACATGTGCTATTGATGAGGCACGTAATGTCACGCTTGTTAGCAGCCCCTCCGTCATTCACGTCACTATACCGGTTCACCCTTCGAAGAAACTTTTATAGAACATAAGATTATCAGTGAATTCGCCTATAATACGCATTTCCTTAGAAACTACAAAACATAAAACTCAATAATTACAACGTTTGGAAAAATAAACGAGATACTGATGAGATTAAAATGTTTTAAATATTTCATACTGAAATGCTGTTTCTTTTTATAATTATTATTATATAATTTTATTTTGAATTAATAATGTTAAATATAATTTAACATTGTATAAAAAGTAACATAATTTTGTGCGATAAAAACAAAATCGTTGTTTTTTTTTACAAATAAGAAAATTACGCCATGTGTGTTGCAATAACAGAGTCAATAGGTCACTTTTATATAAGTATAGGTCAATTTTTAGTGTACTGTAGATCCTGTATTATAAAATTACGTATGTGTGCGTTATACATTTAGTAAAATATTACTTATAACTAAAAGCAGTGCAGTTATTTTTATCTAGATCGATATACAAACATAATCCTCAACTCAATAAATAAATAATCCTTAGTAATCAATTATACATTTTTATACAATACACTAAAATTTAAAAGTGTATTAAACACTTTTAACAAATGATACTGCAATGTATTTGTATTTGTTTTTCAAACTAGTCAAACACCACTAATCATTTATATAATTGTAGAAAGACTGAATATTGTGTATAAATTATATAAGGTTACTTGTAATTTAAAAGTTCATAGATAGTATTGATATACAATGAAAATACTTTTTATCATGTGTTAGCATTTCTAATTACCAAATATTAAAAGCTCTCCTTTTTTAAAAAAAATTAAATAAATAAATAGTACCTCTACGATTAATTAATAATTATTTTTCTCTTGATTAAGTATTGTAGTAATAGTTTATAATTATTTAGTAATTTATGATTCGCGTTCAATATGCCAAAAATATAATACTATAATATTATTGTTATAAATAATATTACTTCGATAGCAATATAATGGAGATGCACAATGCATCACGTTTATCTTCGCGGACACAACGGGCGGATGGAACAATATTCATAAGCGTTTGAACTTACGTGGGTGAAAACTTCTTGTGGTATCGGACGGAAGAAAAGTGTTATATACTAAAAACAAGACGAGGGTGCACGTAGGTGTTTTGATACAGCTAATGTCGCGCAATGGTATAATTCAAATGTGCGTACCCGACGACTGACAGCGTTATGCTCGTGAATTATTATACGAACAAACCGTAAACAATATAATAATTATTATAAAATACATAAGGCGCACTTACTTCTAATCGTCCTGCCGTCCTCGGACACGGCTCCAGAGCTCGGCGTGTCCCTATCGGAGCACTCGTCCTTGTTGTTATGCTGGTGCATGGCCGCGGCCGCAGCGGCCACCACCGAAGATGGCGGTGACACGGACATATTGGCCGGCGAACAAGGACTTCTCCTGGGCGGATACGGGAACGATGGCGGCATCGGTTGCTGTTGCTGTTGGTGGTGCTGTTGCTGCTGCTGATGATGCTGTTGCTGCAAGCCAAGCGTTGGCTGTTGCTGATGTTGTTGTTGTTGTTGTTGTTGTTGTTGTTGTTGCTGCTGCTGTTGTTGCTGCGACTGTTGCGCGGCTCCTTCGGCATGCGACGCCGATTTGTCGTCCATCTTATAGCACTTCGACGGAGGCGCGAATGCGGACGCAAAACCCTTCATGCCGGCCGCGGCCACCGCAGCCGCGTGGTGAGGGTGGTGTGGACTCGACGAACCCAGAGGCTGGAACACACCAGCCTGTGAAAAGGATATCCGCGGGTCCAGCGCGGGGTGCAAGAACTGTGGCTGCAAGTGGTGCAAGAGGTGCGCGGGCAGAGCGGAATAGTTCTCCATGAACCGGAACCCGAAGTTGGTGCCCTGGAACGGTAGGTGTAGGTGCTTGAGGTCGTGCATCTGTCGGCACACATAAGCAACACACGTAACCGTGGTGTTAAAACAACGTGACTTAAGAATAACGTTAAAGATTTAAATGTCGAACGTGATGGCTATGTTACACGTACGCAACATAAGTTGGGGAATCATTGCGTTCGAACCGAATTCTAAACTTTAACAAAATCAATAGTTATTTATTTTATTTTTATCTACACAAGTGTTTAAAATAAATATTGAAACAATAAGTTCGGCGATCACATTTTCAGTTATTCATTCTACGATTAATATAGTAAAATAATATTAATAATAATGTTAATACAACAGTAATAATGGTAAAATTATTATTCTATTCGAATTTGCGAACTACAGCAACAAACCATTATTGATTCTCAATTTATATTCTACATATACATGCACTTTATAGAACTATTAACGAATATTATGATTTTTCAGACGCAATCGTTTACGATCATTATTGTAAAACTAGTTTTATCTTCATTTTTTATTTTTTTTAACGATATAAGTACATCTCTATTACTACTCGTTTAGAGTATCCGTATGAAATTTAATATTTTAGTTTAAGCTATACCTACATTTGTTATCTGTTGTCAATACTTACTATGGTAAATATCAGAGTTGCGAACACAGATTAAAGTATAGGGCAGACACCGCAAATATTTTTGTTGAATTCGAACTAGTTGTACATAAATATACAGTAAATAATTAATATTGGCCTACAGCTATCCTCAAACAATCAAAACGAATTATAGAAGTTGGTGAAACAAAGGTAGGTATATTATAAAAACCTAAGCCAGAATGTTGCAATTTTAATCGAATGTCGACATAAAAAGAACTAAACTGATGTCTTTGATGCGTTTTGACACGACGCGAAGCTTAACACTTACAAAATAAGTACATTAAGAAAACATACTATAGTTATAATATTATACAATTTAACAATATAATTATTTGAATAATACTTATACTAATAATACTAATATACTTATACTAATAGGTAGCATAATAATGAAATTTAATTTTTGTTATAACTATCATTTTCAATGTACCTAGCAATTTAATAAAGTAAACGATGTGTCTGATAACACACTTCATTGGTATAAAATATCATTTTATATCTCAAATACCATATTTATTTGCACATTGGCAGCAACATGTTTTCGTAAAATATTTTTATTTTTTTTCACTAATACTCTAATATATCTAATACTTAACTGTACATAATACTCCAAAGTTAAAAAAACTAATTATTATTTTAATGATTATTTTAACAATAAATTTGTCAATAAAATATCATCTATATTATAAAATATAGAATTGTGATGATAGAACGTTTTATAAAATTTACATGGGTACCTAAATATATTTACCTGTAGTGGTTATCCTATAATAAAATTTTGTTTTATAATCTTTACTGACTGTTTTTAAATGTAAAATTTACTAATATTTTAATTTTAAAATTTCTGAAATAAATAATCACTATCGAGGATACATAAATCATTAATTGCCAATTTACGAACTATTTGTTATACATTTTTATTTGATTTTTAAGTGAGAAGGTTTTCAAGGTACATCATACAGCCAGATGTAAGTCGAATGAGTGCAAATTTTAAACATGACGGATGATTGAGTTGAAGAAAGAATACTCACAAGGAGTCTCAGAAGTTTGATGCACTTAGCATCAAATGTGTTGTTGGTGCCTATATTCTCTATAATGTTTATTTAGTACTACACGTAAATCATATAATAATTCACGTGATTATTATACACACACATTGAAAACAGCAATTTAATTCGAGATTGAAGGCTATATGAAAATTATGATTTAATATAAACTTTAAAAAACTTAATATAATGCTTAATGTTTTTGATGGTGCACAATATCTCTACTTACTATTTCAATGATTAATCAACTATGAGATATTAAGCTTACATACAAAATAAATATATATATAGTTTACATATATATAATTAGTAAGCGATTTTGAATTTAATTTTAAATATTGGAATTCTATGAATAATTTAACTTTATAGTTAAAATTGTTAGCGATGTTGTTAGTGATAAATACCCAAAACAACAATTTGAATTTTAACTACATCCAAGCTTGTGAGGTAAATTAATATAGATGTAACTAAACATTTTATAATTATTATAATTCAGAAAACAAACTCATCAAGAGAAATATAAAATAAACAAAAATTACATTTATAATTTTCGTTGTATTTTATTTGAATTATACCTAATTTATACGTTTACTTACTTTGATTAAATGTACAATTATAGTTTTTGTGTGTCTAAAAGTTTTACCAGTCTTGAAAATGTTCACACAAAAAACCAATCGTCTATACAATATTTATTATTACTTAAATAAATTTATAAATTAAAAAAAAATTAAAAAATTGATCTAAGAATTAATAACTGTATTAAAATGATTTATTTTTTACCTTTTTAAAACTGAAAATACAATATTACATGGTAATGCGGTTACATACTTACAATACTATAAACTATTCCCAAATATTATTTGCGATACTTCAAATACTTATGTTACATAATTAAAATAGTGTAAATTGGTTCAATTATCATTAATAAAATATCTAGAGTCACGCCACAAATTAAATATTATAATATTTAATATTCGTTGGCTGTAGTCATTATTATCAACCATCCATATGCGTTCGAAGATTGATTTCACTTTTTCAGGCAATAAATAATTTATGCTGATGTGCATTGTAATAATTTTAACATAACTTCAGCTGATTGCTGAAGTATTTATTGATCTCTCTGAACATTTTATACTTTCATTATATCATAATTTATGTTATTTTATAACAAGTTTTCGTGTAGTGACCATCACAGCTACAAACCCATTAATATCCAGTACATAACATACGCAATGTTATATGTTTTATTAATCAGATACAAATCATGATGATCTTAAATGATAAAGATAAATTTTATTATCATACGATTTATCATCGATACTAACTCAACCTTATCAAACCTATGAAGGTTTTATCATTCGCCATTAATTTGTAACGTGAATTGTGCGTACCCGAAACGAAATTGCAATTAAAGCCGAAAACAATATTATCTCGCGCTGCAAGTTTAAAAAGAAAATACACTGCTCATTACGACAGTAATATAAAATACAATTACCTTGGTGACACTGTAATTACGGTAAAGAGTGAGTACATAATGATAATAATATATTGGACGCTATCATGTTATATTAGTTATACCATTGATATAATAATATATAAAATCCCCATTTGACTGTTTATGAAGAAACTTAAAATATTAAAGTGATGAACATTCTCCGATAAAAAAAGTATTTATCTGTTATCGAAAAAAAGGAAAATTGTATAAGTTATTGTTGTCAGAAATAAACGATTAGTACTATTGTTACAAAAATCTATTTCAGTGGTGGAATTTTCAAAACAACCAATTTATATTATTTTTTTTTATATATATATATATAATTTAGATTAACTACATGATAAATTTGTTGTACTTGCGATAGTATTATAAATATAAGAACACCGCGTTGTTAAAATTCAATTTTTTTTGTATACCATTTAGTATTTTATATAGCTACACAATAATTGTTTAAAGTTTGACAATTATCATTGACTAACAAATGAATTAAACTGTTTGAAAATTTTTATGCCAATATTTAAATACATTTCGATAAAAACGAAAAACATTTTTTCCAAATCTAAAGCTGATTAGATTTTCGCGGAACCATAGATATAAAATAGGTAATTTCTACTCATTGTTAGTCTTAAGATGAAAACGAATGACGGATGATTTCATATGCATATTAAATATCTCCCGAAAAAAAGCTGTTTCCTCCGTGCCGGTGCACCTCTTGAATGCAGTCACAGCGACGTCTACCGGCAGCAACCACCAGATGACCGTTACCTATTTTGATATGGGGCCCAGGTCACTGCAAAAACCAATGGGTACACCAAACGACGACGTGCACGACACGTTCGAATTACACGAACGCCGCATACCTGGGGCACGTGGTACTAACACGTAAATCGTTCCGATACAGAGTACGATTGCGTCCTCCGGAGCATGGGCGTACTCAAGGGAGGGAGAGGGTTAATGGGGTTCAACACCCCCTCTCTGTTGGCGTATTATTATTTTTATTATTTTTTTTTGCAATAAATTCGTGATGTATTTGTAAGTTATGTCAATGAAATGTCATTGTCTCATCGTATAATAATAATATAAATGCAATAATATACAATATAAATATATTTGTTGCGCCACAAAATAAAATTATTATTGATAAGTGATGGCGATAACTTTTTGATTTTTTGACGGATCACTTCCTCTCCCCTTTGAAGATTCCTGAGAACGCCACTGCCTCGGAAGGACCACGTCGGCACGTCCGGCTATGCGATCGCGTGATGGGTGGCGGGGTCGTGTCACGCGCAGTAGTGGACAAGATTGATTGCCGCGTTCGCGGATATCATCACGCGGAATGACGACGGTGGTGGTGGCGAGAGAAGAACGAGAGAGATGGTGTGCCGGCGATAACGGCGCGGCGAAAGTGAACGCGCGGAGTTACCGGAAAGATTTACGCGGATCGCGGACGAGATAAAAACGCCGCAACCAAATGGCCGCGCGCGTACAGAAACCGAATACTATTTGTATGGAAATAACGCGAGAATATTTACCGTTTACCGTTTACGGCACACGAGATGTATTGTGCGTGCAGCCCGCGCGTACGCGGGATAACAGAAGCGGCTTTGATTCTTTGCTCAGCGCAGAGGGGGGAATACAATTTGGTATAAGCATATACCCTTAACTGGTAGTGTCGGGTCATTGCCGTTTTGTTTTCCACACTTCTTCTTTAGATCTTGCTTTTTTTCAACGTAAAAAACCGTGTCATTAGATGGGAAATGATAATTTGAATAGTTGGAATATAATTAGAAAAAATAAAAGTTTGAAAATTATTAATGAGTTAAAATATGATGATTCCAATACT